TCTATCTCTTTTATTTCTTTAGAATCAAAATAATAAAATTTATAAAGATATAAGGAGGTTAGTTAGTGTTTTTTCAAGTGCTTCTGCTAGTTTCTTATTAAGATATAAAGAGATTTTTACTTAAAGCTTCTTATGTCATTTTTACTCCTTCGGATTCTATAATGTTATATTCAATATACGGAGAATTTAAAACTTTGTTCTTATAAAAGCTTTCTTTATTGCCTTTATTCCCTCAAAACTAAGATTATTATAATAAAGACCCAAAGTGGGTAGAGAAAATTTACGCAAAAAGCTTCTGCTATTGCTTCGTCCTCTTTGATGCAAGTTCATTACCAGAAAGATATAAAGTGATTAGAGTAAATTTTTCATAAATTGCTAAATGTTATAGTGGTCAGAGTGATATTCTTGAAAAGAACTTTCGCAAATGATTTTATTCCTCCAATTTTGTTTGAGCTAAGAACAAGAGAATATAAAGTTGTATTATCACAAGCTTTTGATAAAATCATTAACTAATAAATTTTTTGAAAAGGTTGCTTGTTTGACATCATAAAGCCTTTATTCCATAATCTCGATCTAATTACAACCTTATTAATATGACCATTAAAGTACAATAAATGATAATTTATTTAAAATGCTTGTCACAAATGAAGCTGGAAATTTTAAATACTTTAATATGAATTTTCAAAAATTATTGGGCAAAAATTTTTTTTTTGGCTTTTTTTTAATAGTTAGTTAGGATTAATTTATATAATGAAAGAGTATAAGTGAATTTATATTTTTAATTCGAGGCCCCTAATTTCCAGCATCAGTACGACATTGCTTTCAGAAACGAGTCTAAATACTCAAATTATCATTGTGTTAAAATGAAAATGGGTCAGAATTAATATGTATTATATACTTTTTTAATTAAGCATTCTGGCACAAAATGTAATTGTAAAGATTTATATAATTTGTAAAAAAAAAAATAGTTCAAATATAGACGATCTTTAATTTACTATAAATTTTTTTAAAAAAATTTTTCCGTATGTCCCATAATTACAACATGCCTGATAGGCAATCTATATTTCGCAGCACTTATTTCATAAATAATTTTTTTAACATTATTATTAGCATATTTCGTCTTATTTTTTTACTAGTATAAATTTGCAAGTTCTGGACCTGGATATTAAAGCATATATAAACAGAAAATTGTTAAAAAAACGTTGAATTATGTAATTATAGTGAATTTATGTAATAATGAGATTTATGAAGCTTACAAAAAACCTTTATATCACGAATAAGAATGTTAACTCGTTAAAAACTAGCCATATCAGTTGCAAACTAGCAGATAATTACATAAACAAATTTTAACTAGTTATATGAAACTAGTTATAAAATTTATATGCAGTAAAACTTCCATAAGTGCACCCTCTATGAGTGCACACCCTCTCTAAATTCATGTTAAAGTTCTGCCCAAATATATTAATGCCCCCTAAAAATGCACTTTCTCTTATTGATCTCTAAGTGCACGTTATTAAAACTTGGCCCCAAGAGCTTGCCTTATACTGTATTTTATATTATCTTATTTAGTAGTAAACTTGTAATTCGTTAAAAAAATTAATTCAGATAATATTTTAGTTCAATATAAATAGCTTAAGTATTATAAAATATTAGATCTTTCAAGTTTAGTATTAATGTATTTAAATATATAGAAGTTCTTCTTTTTTTATACTGTGACGGAGATGACCGCATTTATAAATATTATTTGAAATTTCTTTTATAATTGAAAGTCCTAGAAAATTTTTTATCAGCTATTATTATTTTTATTTAAAATTAATTAATTTAAAATTTGTGGTACGATATGTTTATTAAAAGTTGTTATTAAATTTATTTGAATTTTCTGACAATCTGTTTACCAGAACTGAAACCTATAGTAGTTAAAGTAACGTTTCCATAAAGTGCTAATTCTATCTCTTTTATTTTCTCGGATAAATAATCATAAGTATTGTAAAAATGCAAGTAGGTCAAATTAGTATTTTTACTAAGAGCCTCTACTAATGTCTTAACATTATCATGTTGATTTTTTCCATCAAGATATAAAGAGGTTAAAGAAATGTTTTTACTTAAAGCTTCTACTATCACTTTTACTCCATCAGATCCAATTCTATTCCTTCCAATATTCAAAAAAAGTAAATTAGTATTTTTGTAAAGAGCCTCCATAATCGCTTTTATTCCCATAGAACCAAGATAATTATTATAAATGTCCAAGCTGGTAAGAGAGGTATTTCTGCAAAGAGCTTCTGCTATTGCTTCTCCTTCTTTAATGCCAAGATTATTACCATCAAGATATAAATTAGTTAGTGTAATATTTTTATAAAGTGCCTTTGCAAGTGCTTTTACGCCCTCAAAAGTAAACCGGTTATATTTGAAGCCTATAGTAGTCAGAGTGTTATTCTTATCGAGAACTTTTACAAATGCTTTTATTCCTTCATCGTCAATTTCGTTCAAGCCAAGATCTAGAGAAGTTAGAGTTTTATTTTCATAAAAAGCCTCTGATAATATTTTTGCCTCCTTAGAACCGATTCCACATTCATCAAGTGTTAATGAAGTTATGCTGATATTTTTACCAAGAACATCTGCAAGTATTCTTACATTTTCAAAGCTAAAGCCCATTCGAGAAAGACTTAATGAAGTAATAGTAATGGTTTTGTAAAGAAATTCTAATAGTATCTTTATTACTTTGTTATTATTGATTCCACATATATTTGCATACTTAATTTTTTCACTTGTGCGTAATAACATTGTAATTAAAGAACTTTTAACTATTTGGACAGATTTTAAATCGTTACAAGATTTAAATTTTTCATGACTAAGCCATTTTTTGATTCCTTTTTCTAAATCATAGCTGTTAATCCATGTAGTATAAGATGTATATTCAAATAATAGTTTTTGTTCACTTGAAAGTGATAAATTTAATGAGACCAATGATTCTTTTTCTTCAGCGTTCAATGATAAAAGGTATATTCTCAAAACTTTCCAATTTTTACAAAGTAATAATGGATTACTCCATAATATTGGAACTACATTTCTACACCATTGACGGTTTACAAGAAGACACGAAAATAAATCTCCATAATAGTATTCAAGCTTATTGAATATATCAAAAAGGCATTCATTTGGTAATGAAATCATTATAAAAGTAAAGAGAGCTATATTAAGTTTATATAAATTTATTTAGGCTTGTGCGTTCACAGTATATGTGCATTTACTAACCGGAGTAAAACAGAGGATATTAAATACTTATTTAATATTTGTATGCATATATGTACATTTTTGTCATATTTGTGTAAGCATAACACAAGCCAGATTGGGATTATAGAATATTAGTATGGTACGAGTGAATCAGTATGGTACAGGCGAAATTATAAAACAATACCATACTATTAGCTATAATTGCTAACCAAAAGCGATCAGTATAGTACGATTTTAAAATTTGGCCTGCTCTATACCCCATACCATATTGAGCTGGTCAGTTATAATTTTTCAATATTATCTTGCCACAGAACTATAGTAAGTATAATATCAATTAAAGGTACAAATTTTTAGATTGGACTATTTTATTTTATTTTATTTGAGAATGACTAATCTGAAATTTCCAGAGAAAAGTTTTCAACAGTATGGATACAGACCAGTGGTTGATATAGATATCTATAGGGTTTATTTACGGCATAAAACATCTTTGATACTTTATCCATTAATGTGTGCAACGCTCCAATAAATTAAACTATAGTTGGATTTTTTTAAGGTTAATTTTAGAGGTTGGAACCGGATTGCAAATTGCTTATCCGGATATTCATTCTTTTTTTATAAAGAATAATCGGTTATATATCTTTTTTATCAAATTCATATCGGATTTATATCGTTATAATCCGGTTTCATAATTAAAAAAATTTATTTGATAATTAATATAAATACTACAGTATTTCAGTAGAAATCTTTGATATTTTCTTAATTAATGTAGAGCCAAATTCTTCTTCGCCAATTTTTTATAGAATCTGTTCAATCATGTCATCATATTTATTAGTTTAATTTGAAATCTTTTAATACGATTATTGATATTCTTATTTTCACTTGTCTATAACATCATGTTGTACATTTTTCATCTTTTAATCAAATTTGGTTTAGTTATTTTATATACCATATTTGTATGATTTGTAAATTGAAACAAATAAGTTTATATTTACCAAACATTAACGTAAAAAAAATGAAATTAAATTAGTCTTTTCAATTACTCTTAGAAACTTTCATTTGATATCTCTATTTATGAATAACTTAACTTTTATTATAACGATCTTTATATATATGTATCAACCAATAAAATTATTTATATATGTATTATCTTACATTTATATTTATAAAAAAACCGGTTTAAAACCGATAATCCGATTTTAGTTACAAAGTCAAATTTAAAACCGATATATCTTTTACTTTAAATCGGATAGATATTTTAAACCGAATATCCGATTATAAACTGATACGATACCAACCACTAGTTAATTTTGCATACGAATTACATACGAATTTGCACTAAAACGATACTTTTTTTCTATTTTTTTTACATAATTAACAGACCAAATTATGTTTGATTTTTTTTTTAATTGTAGTTCTAGTCTAGTTCTATAATCAAATAGAGCCATTTTTTTAAATGATAACCTTTAATAATATTTTGTTTTGGCATTACCAATGTTATCACAAAAATGTCTATTTGATTGTAGAGCTAGTCTAGAACTACAGCTTAAAAAAAAATAATAATAAATAATAAAAAATACATTATAATTTGATAGTTTGTTATGTAAAAAAAATTTACCTAAAAATTTCATATTTTACTATTAAAGAGACAATAATGATAACCTACCTATTTTATTTATTAGAGTGTTGCTTACCATCTTCAAACAATACTGATAATTTTTATTCGGAAATTATTTTTAAATTAAAATGATTTTAAAGATTAGTAATTATGTTTATTCAAATTTAGTCATTGAAGAGTTTCTGATAAACCTTTTACCACTATCGAATTCTATAGTAGTACATTGGCGCAAAGAGCATTTATCTCTTTTATTTCCTTAGAATAAATATAATAAAAATTATAAAAATACAAAGGAGGTTAGCTTAATGTTTTTACCAAGCACTTCTGCTATTATCTTGACATTATCACGTTGACTTCCAATAAAAGATGAAGAGATTAAAGCAATATTTTTACTTAAAGCTTCTACTATCATTTTTACTCCTTCGAATCCTATAGTATTATATTCAATATCTAAAGAAGTTAAAATTTATTTTTATAAAAGCTCAAAACCACAAATTTTATAATAAAGAATCAATTTGGTCAGAAAAATTTCGCAATGAGCTTCTGCTATTGCTTCGTCCTCTTTGATGCCAAGATCATTACCAGAAGGTATAAAGTGGTTAGAGTAAGATTTTTATAAGTTGCTAAATATATACGTAGTGGTTAGAGTGATATTCTTAAGATCAAGAGGAGATAAATTTGTACTTTCATAAAAAGCTTCCGATAATACCTTTGTTTTATTAAAGCCAAGCTCGCATTCATAAAGTTTAATGATATTAGGCAACTATTTTACGAAGAATATTCTTATTTCTTTAAAACTAAATTCAATTCGAACAATGATTTATGAAGTAATAGTAATGTTTTTGTAAAGAAATTCTAATAGCATCTATTATTTTCATTTGATCTTACATATATACGCATACTTAGTTTTCACTTGTAGATAATAACATTGTAATTAAAGAATCTAACTATTTGAACACAATCTAGATTTTAAATCGTTACAGGGTTCAATTTCTTCATGACTTAGCCGAGGTTTTTTTTTTTGATTCCTCTTTCTAAATCAAAGCTGTTAATCTATATAGTATATGCAAACTCAAATAATAGCTTTTGTTCATTTTAAAGTGACATATTTATTAGACCAATGCTGTTTTTTCTTCATCGTTCAATGATGAAAGGCATGCATTATGATCATAAGTTTCCAATGTGACAATGGTTCGCTCCATAATTTTGAAGTTACATTTCTACACCATTGATGGTTTACAAGACATAAAAATAAATCTTCGCAAAAGTATTTAAGGTTGTTATATATTTCATAAAGCCATTCATTTGACAACGATGTTATTATAAAAGTTAAACCGATGTAATTAATGAAATGGATTGTTTATAATCATATATTTATAGAGTGGGAGTCCATTTACCATACAGGGTTAGCGGAAGACATTAAATACCTATTTGTATTATAAACACATACATTTTTGTTATTGTGCATGTAAGCAACTTGTATGGAGTTTAAGTCGTACTACGTTCATTTATAAAAGAATATTTTGACAATGAGTAAAGGAAATACCTTATTTTTGAGATTCTAGTTTTTAATTTAGCTTTAATCTAAAATAATTTATTTTAAATCACGTTTTTAAATAAAAAATAACATTTTTTTTGTGAATCAATATAAAAGATAAAAAAAAAAAGAAACAAGAATAATCACTTAACTTATTGTCATGTTTGCTCAAGAAACCTTCAAATCCTTATGAAAAAATTTTAAGTACGAAAAGAAATTGTGAACAGTCAGCTAAACAGTTTTTATCATTTATTAATGTAAGGCAGTCTACATAGTTAGGTTTACAAAAACTATATATTATTTGTAATTGTTTTACAGAAAAAGAACTGCTAATCAATAATGGTTATTACGTAGAGTTTTAGCATGATTATTCATCCGACTTGCATTAACATAATTCTAGTCAAAAAAATGGCATTATTAATTCTATATAGATTTTTGCAAAAAATAATGCTATTAAAAAGTACACTGATAAACAGCATCACGGCAAATTTATGAAATTAAGCTAAAGTTCAGATACCAAATCCCACCATTTGATCCCTCAAATTTAAATTCTAGCGGTCAAAGAAAATTTTCAGGTAATGATTTAATTAAGGGATCTACAAGTTGCAGCACATATAAATTTATAAATTTATAACGATCTACATTTATATCATACAATATAACCAGCATTCTTTATTATATTTCATATTTATATACTATTGTTACCATCGGTTGGGAGAGCAATTGCGGATGTTAATCCAATTTAGCTCCGATGGTTAACTTGGTTCGGGAGTTATAACTCTTGTACACTTGATATGATGTCACGAAACTCTTAAGCTGAGTCGGGGTTATCACTTAAACAGATCAAACTTCAATTATCGGGGGGGTAATTTATTATGTAACAATGAAATAAGAAATGCAAGATAATAACAATAATAAAGAATAATACAATAATAAAAGAATAAAACTAAACTAATAAACTAATACTACACATGTGAGAAATCTGATTCTTATTATAAACTCTATAACTAAGACATCAAGAATTCCAAATCATCGTTTGAGACAAAGTCTAATCTAAGACACACAGTCTAAGACGAATAGTCTAAAGAAACTTCTCCCCAAGGCGAAAACTCATGCCTTAAATACCTTTTAATTTACTAAGAACTACTGCGCTTGCTCACAATTCTGCTTACAATTCTGCTTACAATTTTGCTAACATCTTATTCTCAATATTTACTGGATCACTAAGCCTCCGTCAGCAGTCACAATATTCTTGTGACTCGGGTCATTTAGGCATTTAATACTACCAAATCACATGGAAGTCAAAGTTTAAAATTTAAACCGTGACACTATCTATATTTTCCCTTTACGTCAAAAACCTTTGAAGTATTTTATTTTGAAAATGGCGGTTTGATACAATCGACGAAGTCAATCTCAAAATTTGATTGGTTGACATTCACGTTATTATCACGTTACTATCTATATAAATTCAAATACAGCAATATAATAATTATACTCAGCTACCTATTCTATCGAATATAGATTGAATTGCCAGAACCCATTTAAAGATCTAAACTGAATTCGTTTTCAAGACACGTTCGAACCCAATCATTGCTTAGAAGTTTTTTTTTTTTTTTTTACCTATATACTTAATATAAAATATTGATTACAGTTCCGAAATAAAGTTCGATTTCGATTTTGATTAATATAAACTAATTCGTTTCTACCACTATTTGCATTTATGTCAAAGTTTCTTATATGCTTAAGTATTTTTATTCCATTTTTTATTAAAAACTTCAGAGTTCTTCTCCTGACCACTTTTCTGAATCTCTAATCCAAAATTGCTTCATCAGGTTCACAACATGTTTTTTACATAATGCAGCTTCACTGTACCGTACAATACAGCAATGATTCATGTTATTGTCTGCTTTTCATTCAATACTGCAATAACTATATATCTGATATAATACAGTATTACGTAAAACAAATCCTTATTCGCGGCTAACCGCATAATTGATCGTCTATTCGCAGTTATTCGCAGACTTTAAAAAGGATTACACAAACACAAATATATCGATATCAATAAGATTAAAGTTATGAATATACTTATCGTTTAGCTTGTAACACTTTATAATACTACGTATACATAAATAGTACATTGTGTTCGTTAATATTCTACGTATAAATTACTTTTGTTCATTAACAAAAAATCTGTATTGAATTTTAACCTACAGCAATGGGAGATTTAGAATTAATAACTTCACACAGTGATATTGTTTTACCGACTGCATGGGATATTAAAGATAAATCACCGTTTATTGAGATAGATTTAAGTGGACTTAAAGCGAAATATACAGGTAATATGAAGAAAAATATTTAACGTGTACTATATTCATCGGCATCATTGCTATTTAATTTATTAAAAAACTTTTAATTAAAGATCCTGATGATTATAAAGCTGTAATCGTTCGAGCAAACAATCCAATCCCTTCAGAGTGTGGGATATTTTACTTTGAAATTAAAATTTTAAACAAAGGAAAAAA